CCTAGAAGGTCTGACAGATGACTTGTCATGTTGTCAATCTACTGAGGTTGGGGGACCCAGATTCCTGCCCCCATGAATCCATGCCCTGTGTTGTAAATTCAGACTTTCGGTACAGAGACTGAATGCCAGAACATTATACTTCTGCAAAGATGCTATTCTAAGAAGAAAAAAAATAAGGTGAATCTGACGTTATTCCTTCCTCTTTTTCCCTACCTGTCTTCTAATGCCTTCTGTGAAGGTAGTTCCTTGTTTTTCCCGCTCCTGCCCCAATTCTATTTTGAAACTGCCGTCTTTTGTTGGCAGAAGGAAACTGGAGAAATAGCTCATTAATTGAAGGTTTAAAAGCTTTATTTTTCCTGCTGTTTGAGAGCAAGCGAGAAGAAAAACAATAAACGGTGAGAATATTCCAAGGGCTGGATCTTACCAAGGGGTGTAAAGTGTACTGCAGGCCACTTTAGCTGACTGTGTTCAGCAGGTCAGCGGTTCAAATCTCACCGGCTCAAGGTTGACTCAGCCTTCTATCCTTCCGGGGTAGGTAAAATGAGGACCCAGATTGTTGGGAGCAATGTAAATATATATATATATACATTGCTTACTGGTGTACACCGCTTAGAGAGTGCTCGCACTTAAAAGCGGTATATAAGTCTCATAAATAAATAAATAAAAGAACAGATTTGAGATACCAGGGACAGGTAAGATGAGAATATTGACAAAAGGAACACCTCCACCTGAACCTTATGGAAATAAAATGTGATTGCTGAAGTTTTCGTGCAACCAGGTAAGGAAGGTCAGCTGACTTTGGCTGATGTTAAAGAGGTTGGAGCTTGTTCAATTTGGATGGGGCACCAATAGGAAATCCAAAAGCAACCACATCATTGGAGTGCTCCCCCCAATTACATCTATCTATCCCATGAGGTCTGGCAGAAGAATCTGGCATAAATAATACATACATAATAGTCACAGAAGAAGACTATGACCAACCACTTCTAACAATAAAAAACTACAGTGATGTTTTTGACAAAGTAGGGCTAAACTTAAGCAGATTAATTACTCCTGTTTTCCTGTTTTACAGTATGTGGTTCCAACATCCTGTGTCTCCCCCCCCCCTCCATCTCATAACTACATTTAATGGCCAAACTTGGGTGAGCTGCTGGCTGTACTTTCCAGATTGCCCAGCTAATTTTTGAAGTAGGCCAAAATAGGCCTCACTTCCCTCCCTAAACCAAGATGTTACGTTTTTGGGGGACCCTCAAAATGTCAGCGGAACAGGTGTTTGTGTTCCTGAGCTCCGCTGCAAAATCCCGATGAACCGTTTTAAAGGGAAAAGCCATATTGTGGTTGGCTGGAAATCAAGCCAAGGCATTTTTTTTTTTTTTTGAGTGCTAGGTGGAGATTTTTGTATTAATGCACTTTCCCCTTAGCATGACTGAGCCATCAATTGCAGGGAACGCCGACTTGGCAGCAAGAGACTGAGTCAATTTAGCAGCCGAGCTGTTCTTACGCAGGCTCTGTTTATGCCGGGGAATAAAAAGGTTGGATAATCTCGAGGTGGCAACGTGAAGGGGACAATTTTAAACCCTGAGTGGGAAAAGAAAATTTTAAACAACTACCCCACATTAAAAACCAACCGACGGACCTGCATACAGCACAGGTAATCCTTGACTTACAATCCACAACCGGGATCAAAATTTTTGTTGCCAAGCAAATAAGTTAACTCATTTTACAATCTTTTTCACCACACTGGTTAAGCAAATCACTGACCGAAATAAATATTATCCAAATAAACATTATCCACCAATAGAAGAGAAACTCCTATGCTCCCGCACACTGATGACGTCACCTAGTGGGGTAGTGAAACGTTTACAACGTTTATCTTCATTGGGCACCACAATTGGGACCGGCAACATGGTCACTAAGCAAAGTAGTTACTAAGTGAAACATCATAATGGTGTGATCTTACTTTAGCTTTCCTTTGTTTCATAGACCTACAAAAGTCTATCAAATGCAAGGACTCACTGTTGTAACTGTGAATGGTCACTAACTGAGACAGTCGCTAAACAAAGACTTCCTATACAATCCAACAGCGAAGGTCAGAGGCCACCAAAAACTCCACATCACCATCATCATCAATCGTTGCCTAAGTACAACTTTCATTAACAATTGCTCTGTCAAAATTGGAGAAAATATAGTAGCTAAAATGCATCCATCGCCCCATCACACCTATTCAATTCTACCCACCCTTAGGCAGAAACGCATTTTCCTTGAACTTAAGTGAGTTCATTTTTCAAGGAAAATAAAGTGCTGAATTTTGCTGTCAAAAGGCTGTGTGGGAAGTTCCGGAGATATTAGATGGTGCAAAAGCAATTGCAAAAGATAGAATGGGCTATATGCCTCAACCATAAAATTATATCTTGAATTATGATCACCCTTAATTGGGGGGGGGGAAATGAGAATGGTTCAATCAGATGCGGCTGATTTCAGTTTTCTGACCATAGCAAATATCAGAAGAAAAAGAAGAAAAGAAAGGTGCAGAAAAAAAGCAGTAGAGCAAAAGAAAAGATAATTAAAAAAGTACCTAAAGCAATCAGCAACTCCCAACCTTCTGTTCAACAGTTATAAACAAACCCATTGTTCCTCCTCTTAATATTACAAAAAAAAAAAAAAACCCACCTCTCAGCCTCTTATTCAAACTTTTTTCAGTTGAAATCATCATTTTATTTTATTTTCATTTTCAGTAAAAAGTCCATAAAAGATCTTCTCTGGTCTTTTATAAAAGAAAGCACTTATTGTTTTGTCCCTGACCAAACGAGTCAGTTTTGCCATTTCTGCAAACTTCACAATTTTTCCCTCCCTTGCCCGTGTTTGAAGCATTTCTCCATCGTTGTGCATATAACAACTTGCTGCAGTTGTATATAAAATCAAGTCTTTTCTCATTGGCCATTCATACGTCCTAATGGGGAAAAAAAGTTCCACTTTCTTCTCCATATGAATCTTTAAAATTATTGTTTGCTTTTTCACAAATAAACCAGGCATGGCAGAAAGCCCCCAGCGTGTTTTTTAACACTTGCAACATTGAAACAGATGCATGTTAGATAGTTTCTCTGGTGTCATCTATCAGTGGTACAAAAAATATTTATTCCTTCAACATCCTATGCTACCAATTAGCCCCTGCTCCAATATATACCCACAACTACACATGCTCCAAATATTCTGAAGGAAAAAAGGATCTGAAAAGAGTGAAGACCAATGAGGGCTGAAGGAAAGACAAGATGGACTTGCTCATCAGAAGGAAGGACAAGAACCAGAGTCCGAACCTTTCAAGAGAAAGCGATTCCACTCAAGGAGGAATTTCCTGGCCAGGAAAGCTATGAAGCCTTGAACAGCTTCTCTCCTGGAGTTATGGAAGCTCCATCACTGGAGGTTTCTTTAAAAAAGAGATTAGAAGGCCACTGGTTTAGGAAAGTCTGAGGGGTCAGACTAGAAGACCTCCCAGGTCCCTTCCCATTCTAGGAAGGGTGGCTTCTTCGTGTTTTTAAAAGAACCGTAAATGGTTTGTATTTGCTAACTGCACCAAAATGATTCAGCTTCACGCACCGCGCTGTCCTTCCTTCCTGACCACACAAGGGCGCCCGCCCTGCTCTGGGCCCGGCCTCGGCCGGTCGTCCAGAAGAGGGAGCCCCGGGAGGCTGGGAGTCCCGACCGTCCTTCCCCCTTGGTGACGGACCAGCCTCCTTCCCAACTCGACCACCGCGGGTGGGGTCCAGCTGCTTCGGCGTCTTTGGCCTCGGCCATCCCTGCGCTATCCAGGGCCCAACTGGTCACCACCACGGAAGTTTGACTCGGCTTTTCCCTCCCTCCCTCCCTCCCTCCCCTTCCTTTCCCATCTCCTTCATTCCCATCTCCTTCCTTCCTTCCTTCCCTTCCTTCCTTCCTTCCTTCCTTCCTTCCTTCCTTTCCCATCTCCTTCCTTCATTCCCATCTCCTTCCTTCCTTCCTTCCTTCCTTCCTTCCTTCCTTCCTTCCTCATTCCCATCTCCTTCCTTCCTTCCTTCCTCATTCCCATCTCCTTCCTTCCTTCCTTCCTCATTCCCATCTCCTTCCTTCCTTCCTTCCTTCCTTCCTTCCTTCCTTCCTTCCTTCCTTCCTTCCTTCCTTCCTTCCTTCCTTCCCTTCCCCACCACTCCCCTCCCTTACCCTCCCCTTCTCTCCCCTCCTTCCACCTATTGCCCTCTTTTCTCGCAGCAGCTATCCTGACTTCTTCCCGGCAGAGCCGCCGCTTCCTTCTCCTTCGCTTGGATCCCTGCCGGGCCGGGGCTCAAAGCCCCAAAGCGACTCCAAACGCCTGTCGGGGGGGGGGGGAGAGGCGGGCGGGGAGCGAAGAAAGAAGCGCCCCCCTCCCCAGTTTTTTTCCCCGCCCCGCAACAGAGATGCCCAAAGATTCTTTTTCAGTACTGCACCCCCCCCCGCCGCCCTGTGGCGTGGCCCGTAGGCCTCCCCCTCCCCCGACCCCCGGGACCTCTCTAGCCCCCCCGGCGCCTGTCCCCCCCTCCCTCCACCCCGCCGCCCCCTCCCGCCTCTCCCGCCCCCCCCCGGCAGACACGCGTGCTGAAGGTCACCATTCACGGGCGAGCGGAGTCAAAGGTCCCGGTTTGCCGACCGCCGCGAGCCTTGCCTTTGCGATCGCCCCCGATGACGTCCTTCTGGTCGGGGGGGGGAACGTTGAGACACAACAACCATCGTTTCTCGGGGGGGGGCGCGAAGGATGATTGCAATTGCAAGTCCCCCAGCCGCCCGCCCCCCCCACCATAATTGGGGCTCGTGCCCGTGCAGTCCCTCCGGTGGCCACCGGGGGGCGCCCTGCCGCTCGCTTCGGCCCTCCTCTCGCCGCCGGCGCTGGACGCGGCTCGGCTGCTCCTGGTTCGCAGCGCGTCGCTCCTCGCTCCGGTCCCGGCGAAGCGCGGCCGGCGTTGGCGCCCCCCCCCCAGTCCTAGCCCGCCCGCCCGCCCGCCCGGCGAGAGGACCCGGGGCCGCCTCCGAGCCGGCCGCCCTGCTGCGCCCCCAGCCCTGCGGAGCCGCCCAGGTAGGAGTTCCGTGGCCAGCCGCAGCCCAGCCCGCCGCTCGGCCGAGACCCGCCGCCCGCCGCCCTGGGGGGGGGGTTCGGCCAGGGCGCTGCTGGGCTCCTGCGCCCCTCTCGCGCGCCGAAACCCCCTCCCAGCCCCGTCCGGTCCGGATTCCGGACCCCTCTGTTGGGGGAGCCCCTTCCTCAGCCCTCGCCTGCCCCCCCCCGCCGGAGAAGACGGTGGGGAGAAGACCCCTTCTCGCTGCTGGGGGGGGGCAAAGGTTGACGGACCCTCCGGCGTTCTTTCGGCGTGCAGGGCGGGCGTCCGGCAAAAGGGCCCCCCCCCGTCGCCGCGCCAGCAGGTCTCCGGGGCTTCCGAAAGCCCCGTTTCCCCGACTCATCTGGGAGTCGGGAGCTCCGGGGTCCCCAGACTGTCCGGGTCCCTCTTGGCTTCCCCGGCTCCTTTGGGGATCTCCCGCCCAGTTATCTGCATCTCTCCCCCCCCCTTATCTTCCCCTCAAGTTCCCTTCTCCTTTTGCCGCCCCCCCCCCCGTTTCCAGATGTCCGCTTCCCTCCGACCTCACAGGGTGAAGGCTGGAGATTTGGGCGGGGGGGGGTTGGATGGGAAGGGAAGGATGGGAAGAGAATTAAAGAGAAAGGATATTTGGGAAGGAAGAAGAAGGGGGGGGGGTGGCGAAAGTGAACAGCGCCTTTCTGGATGGAGAAGCCCAGAAAGGGAGATGGCAAACGGGGAGTCCCCGGAATGGATTTTATGGGGTCCCCTCTTGCAAAGTGGGGAAGGAGAAGGGCATCCCTAGAAGGGAGCTCTCCCTGAAGAGTGTGACAGGACTAAGTCTTTAGAACTGTTTCTTTGCCTCCTGCCTTCTTATTTCCTTGGTTGAAGAACCAATTTGATATAGTGGGGCCTGTTTGTGTGTGTGTGTGTGTGTGTGTGTGTGTGAGAGAGAGAGAGAGAGAGAGAGAGAGAGAGAGAGAGAGAGAGAGAGAGAGAAGCTTTGGGAGTGTCTTGTCTTGTTCTGTTTTGGGCAAGTGGACGTGCAAGAAAGGAACAAGTGGTTGAGGTGGGAGGGAGAATCACATTAGGAAGGGAGGGAGGGAGGGAGGGAGGGAAGGAAGGAGATAGGAATGAGGAAGAGAGGGAGGGAAGGAAGGAGATAGGAATGAGGAAGGGAGGGAGGGAAGAAAGGAAGGAGATAGGAATGAGGAAGGGAGGGAGGGAAGAAAGGAAGGAGATAGGAATAAGGGAGGGAGGGAGGGAAGAAAGGAAGGAGATAGGAATAAGGGAGGGAGGCAAGAAAGGAAGGAGGGAATGAGGGAGGGAGGGAAGGAAGGAGATGGGAATGAGGGAGGGAGAATGGGAGGAAGAAAGGAAAGAAGGAGATGGGAATGAGGGAGGGTGGAGGAAGGAAGGAAGGAAGGAAGGCTGCAGAGATGGGTAGAGTGGAAGAGGAAGGGGATAGAATAAATATATAGGGAAGTGCTATAAGGGGCTCTCAATGGGAAATGAGTTATGGGTGCAGGGTGGGGTGAAGTGGCCAGTGAGGGCAGAAGAGGACGGCAGCCAGGGATGGACGTGAGCAGCTTTGGGAAGGTGGAAAGAGCACTTGGCTAAGTTATGCTCAGTTTTCCTCAAACATCCCTTCAAGAAGTGCCGAGGGCTTCAGTCAGTCCTGGTTCGTAATCCTTAATCCTGTGTGCCGTTTGGGTCTCCTGAGATGGGTTTGCCAGCAGGCCCTTTCAGAAAATGTCACCTCATTTTAACTGGAGGAAAAGCAGCCTCTTTCCTACTTCGGACTTACACCTGTGCTGCAGGTGTAAATGCAGGAGGGCTGTCATTACAAGGATGCAGCTGCTGTTCCTCCACCACTTCTACCTGGGCAAAGGCTGCTGCATCTCACCCCCCAGGTGTGGGGCTGGGCCTACTGTGATTGGGGTGTTTTAGGAATGGTTTCCTGGCCTTACTTTTTACAGGATCTGAAGTCAAAAGGAAAAGGATAGCCAGTCGCAACCACAAGACTATTTCAAATGCTTAGATTCTTCCTTCACAGTATTCCTTAATCTTTCCAAAAAGCATAATTAAACCAGTGTGATAAAGTTGCTGGGCCCAGTAACAACTGGGATGTGGTTCAAAGTGGGCAGGTGGGATCAAGGAAAGCCATGGATGTTTGGAATGCTAAAGGGTTCTATCTATCTATCTATCTATCTATCTATCTATCTATCTATCTATCTATCTATCTCCATATGTCCATCCATCCATCCGTCATTTTTTTGGAATGATTAGATCTGTTTATAAGTTGGATAAAAGTCCAGATGCGTTACTGTGAGACTTATTGTGGAGAGCAGGTTAAAGAGACCTCTGTCGCTTTTCACTGCTTTGAAACCTTGCCTAGGAAAGCTTGTGATGATGTTACTTTCTCACTGGGAAACTCATTGCTTTCCCAACACAGAACAATTCTTCCATTTGTCTCTCTCTTTTTCTCTGTGAGGGAATGCTGCCTGGGGGATTCTGGGAGTTGAAGTCCACGCATCTTAAAGTTACCGAGGTTGAGAAACGCTGTTTTGCAGTATGTAAATAAGAGATGTTTGGTTTGTAAGAGCAATAGAGAGAGAAACATAAGACATACTCTCCAAAAAATCTTAACTTTCCAGAATGTGTAACCAGATGTTTCCAGGCTTAACAAAACAGTCGATTGAAACAGTTCCCCCAACTCACATCTATCACTCCTTTACAACTAAGTCTTAGTTGCTCTCACAACAGAGAGTGTTGTTCTTCACCAGAAAGATCTCAGCATCCCTTTAAATTATCCCTCCAACATTACTCCAAGGTCAGCTACTCCTCCTCTAATCATTCCTTATTATAGACATCTGCAGGTGAAAACAAGGAGATAACTTAGCAGCTCACCTATGGCAAAACACTGAGTTTGAAGTGGGGGGGGAGGCGTCATTAGGATTCCAAGGTATGCTTCCTCTCTCGCCTCAGGATCTGTGCAACACAACCGCCTGTCCTGTGTAACTGATGACACACCGGTGGCAAGGTCTCTGTTCTGCCACACTGGCTACCAACAGCTTTGGCAATGCCTCCTCGTGCATCAGATGGAGGCTTTTCCCAAATGGGCCGCTGGGTTCCTTCTCGTCAAGGTCATAACCCTCCCGAGTGTTAATCTCAGAGACCTGCAGAATATTTCTGCCTTATCTTGCCTGCATTTTTCCCTGGTTTCTGCCTCTCCCGTGAAGAGGCTGGCTCGGAGGCCAGAAAGGACTTGCATTTGCCGTCCACCCCCAGGGGCGAGATGACACGCAGAAGCCTGTCTTCCCTTTTTACAGCTGCAGTGTGACAGTTGGGACCGGGTGGCTGAAAACAGCCGTGCCGGTGAAGCCCTGGTGTGCAGCATCTGGGATGAAGCGTTCTGCGGAGATGCCAGGGCGATGCTCGTGAAGACGTATGGCTCCAGCGGGCGCGGAGTCAGTTTGAGAGGAGGAGAGGATGCCAGAGACCTCTCTGCTTTAGGGGAGAAACGGCTGGTCAGTGGCAAGGAGAAACCCTCCCCTGTTTGCCGGTCAGAATTTCCTGATTGAATCTTCACGCAGCCACGCTTGACTTCCATCAATCATCTTTAGTCCTGGCACTGGCTGATCTGATTGGCGTTTCCTAAAGAGGTGATCCCCATCTGCTAACCCAGGTTGGTCAGATGAGCAACAGTTAGCTGGGTCCACTTAGGCTCCTGCTAGTTTGATGGCTTAGCATTCAATTTTCTTTCCAGTCTACAATTCCGCTTCCATTAATCTGGAGGAGGGGGGGGGAAGACATGTTATTTTTACTTCTCACTTGTTCCTCCCTGATGTTTTGTTTTTAAGAATGCGTAAATATGGACGGGGCATTTAAAGTTGTGTCTTCTTTCGGTTTGGAACAGGGCCTGGTATCACTGGGGCGGAACCGAGCCCAAATAGATCAACGGAGAGGTACTTTAATTTGCGGAGTAGATTTCCCCTTCCTAAAAAAACAGATTTGCTCCAAAGGTACCTTAATTTGTGGGAACTCACAGTAGTTAGCTGGATGATGTTAAGGGGCCCAAGGAAAATGGGGAAGGGGTGAGATGGGGAGTGGATTTTCTTTTTATGCAGATAATAAATTTGGCTAAATGCATCGAGCTCTGAATAGAATAAATGAGATGAAGTTGGGTAGTTTTGCATAGATCTAATTGGATATATTTCTCGTTTTCCCTGTGATCCGAACGTGGTAGTGCAATTAGCTTTATTTATTTGCATAAGCAGGGGAACAGAGTAAAAGAGGGAGAGGGGGAGATGAGCTGAGTCCCCAAATTATTCAGAACTCTTTCCTTCTCTCCCCAAAGCTGTGTTTAAAACAACAACACAGCCCTTCCTTCTTGGGTCACAAAGCAACGCAGTAGAGCGGACACGGTGTCTTTTCTGGACCAATGTATTTTATATGTTACTAATTTCAGTTTTGATGGTGGGTTTGTTTCGATGATCTGAAACCAGCCTTAACCTTTTTCCGTCCCTCGGCTGCCGAAGGGAACAGCGCTATTGAAACTGATGCCTCTAAAGTGCTTCGAACGCAAGTTTAAATGCTATTTAAATGCTAGTATTATCCCTGAGAACCCTCAGGTTCTCATTCCTGCTGAGCCAGTGACTGTCAGACAGCCTGTGTGGGCTTCTTGGGAAACCAGGCTCCTTGTGCGTAAAGCATTTAAAAGGGACCAGATTGGAGGAATGTTGTTGTTCTTTTAAAAAGGTAAAGGCATCCTCAATTTACGACCAAAATAGGGACTGGAAAATGAATGGCCATTAAGTCAGGCATCATAGGACCACGGGCTGACCTTTGACCTTGCTTGTGGGAAGCTGGCTGGGAAAGTCACAAACGGCAATCACGTAACCGCGGGATGCTGTGATTGTCGTACACGTGAGACAGTTGCCAAGTGCCCCAATCACAGCTGTACAGGAGATGCTGCAAAGATCGTAAGTGTGAGGACGGTCCCCCC